TGTCTCTGCAAACAGACTTCCTCCAATCACGAGCCTTATATAACTGACGTTAGCTGATGCTGAACAAACCGACTGGAGGAAGCCTGTTTGCAGAGACAAAGTATGGGCAGTTTTGCAACCGCGCGGTTCTCTCCTCTGCTTACTTCCTTGCTTAAGACACCCTTCAATTTTTAGCGTAAGGATTTTAGAAAAAAGTATCATCTTATAGTCGGAAAAATATGGTATATACTTTTCTTTAAATTCAGTAAAGAGAAACAGATAAATTTCATCGCTATTTTAATGGAAATAAAAATTGTTTTGGAAATCATGGGCAGTTTTGCAACCGCGCGGTTCTCTCCTCTGCTTACTTCCTTGCTTAAGACACCCTTCAATTTTTAGCGTAAGGATTTTAGAAAAAAGTATCATCTTATAGTCGGAAAAATATGGTATATACTTTTCTTTAAATTCAGTAAAGAGAAACAGATAAATTTCATCGCTATTTTAATGGAAATAAAAATTGTTTTGGAAATCAATGAGGAGAGTTAAGTAAGGAGCCTCCAGCAGAGTAAATTCAATTAAAAACAAAAGTTTTGTATAGTGGTTAAGATGCTGGACTAGAAATCATGAGACTCTGAGTTCTAGTCCTCTCTTAGATATGGAAGCCAGCTTTGGGCCATTCAGTCTCTCTTAGCCTAATCCACTTCAGAGGGTTCTTAGCAACAAAGAATTGTTGGAATAACAACCCTGAAAAAGTAGTCAAGAATGAAGAAGTTATGGTACTGTGGTACTTCCAAATACAACTGATAAACATTTAGCCCGTAACAAGCCAGACATGACTATAGTTACAAAGAAACAAGTATGGATAATTGACATTGCGATAGCTGGAGATAACATCAGTGAGAAAGAACTAGAAAAATAGGGAAATATAAAAATCTTTCAAATAGAGATCAAATGTGAAAAAAGAAAGTAGCAGTGGTGCCAATAGTAGCTAGAGCACTTGGTACCATACCAAAGATCTGGAAAATCACTTGGACAGAATAGGAGTGGATAGAATCTCAACTCATCAGTTACAAAATCTTGCATTACCTGCAACAGTGCATATATCAAGACACTATCTTTAATTATTCTAGGTCCTCGGGAAGAATCCAGTATCTTCTGGATATGTAAATAGATGCATACATTTTGCTATTTACATACAGTATCTTGTGTGTAAATACCAATAATAATAACAACAACAACAACAACCATCAAGCAGCATCTGCCTATCCCAGGTCCTTGGGAAGGATTTGATAGGTGGATAAAAATGCCACATCCAGTCTAAACATCTGGTTAACTGTGCAAATAATAATAATGATAATAATAATGATATATTTAAAATTAAGCAGAACTGGGTAATTGCTGTACAGAATATTTTAGAGATTTGAATAGAAATGATGAGTTGAAGAATGAATTGGAACAAATGTTATAAATATTAAAATTAACACTAAAATTATGGAAAAATGGTAAGGCTACAATTGTAGATGGTGTAACTGAACAGATTTTAAAATATGGATATGGATTACCTATGGAATGGTTGCATGACATGTATAAGATGTGTGTAAGAGTACATCTGTCCCAGATGATTGGAAGGATGCCATTATTTTTATCTTCAACAAAAGGAAAGTATCAGGAGTAAATGCAAAAATAACTGTTAAACATTCCTGAGGAGGCATTTTGCAGAATTTTGTTTGAAATGGAATAAGATATGACAATGAGCAAAATTTGGGAAGTACAGTACAGCTTTACACTGGGCAGGAGGTGTGTAGATCAGATTTTTGCTAATCAGCTAGTCATTGAGAAATGTATGAATGTGAGAACATTTGTTATATGTTTGTTGACTTAGAGCAAATGTATGATAAATAGGTTTGAATTATGGAATGTTTTATACAAATACAGAATGTAAGGCTTGTTGCTAAATGGAATAAGTAAATAAGATACATAAGTAAAGCATGTGCAGAAATAAATGAAATGCTTATTAAATGATTCACTACTGAGCAGGTGTAAAACAAAAATGTGTAATGTCCCCTTGGTTGTTTAACAGATCAATGGATAAATATATAAGAATCCTTGTGGTTGTGTTAGAGATGTTTTTGGGGGGAAGTGACAAGGAAAACAGAGTGAATTATTGCAATTTATGCATTAATGGCAAAACCTGAACAAGCAAGTGAATTTGTGTGTCTTAGTAGAATATATACTAAAGATAGGAAAAAGGACAGAAACATTTTAAGATACACAAATGCTGATAAAAAGATGGTAGATAGTATGTGATCTGTTGCAAGGAAAGGTATGTTTGTCAAAACGAAGCTAAACCAGCTCTATGTAACAGCATGCTTTAGTTTACTTAATGGTATGGAAGTGAGAATTGAGTATGGCAGGAGAAATGCAGGTTGACTCTAGTGGAAATGAGGTATTTAAGAAGTGTTGTGTAGTAGGATGAGAGGTAAGGTGCAGAATGAATGGGTGCTGAATGAATGTAGGTTGAACACAAAAGTGAGTAACAAGTATGAAAGAAACTCTTTGGTCATACAGAAAGAATGAGTAAGGAATTGTGGAATAATTTTAATGCTTTTTTTTTCATGGTCTGTTTTATGGTCTATTTTTATTGTAAGCCACCCAGAGTCATATTTTGTGTGATGGGCAGCTATATAAATGTGATGACTGACTGACTGAATATATTAAGGAAAAGTGAATGGGTTGAGAGAAAGGGGAAGACAGAAAATATTGGTTGTCTGGAGTTTATGACATCCTCAAAAAGAGAGAGGAGAGAAGTTAAAAGAACAAAAGGCAATGTATGTATGTAATGATACAATGATTCCCCCCCTCCCCCGTGATAGAAAGGCCTTGGAGATATATAGTGAATTATGTTAGAATAAGCTAGTTTTACCTATGTTTCCCTCTCTTTTTTAATCACATGCTTGCCTTACTGTTTCTTACTCCTTTTCTGTATAATGTTGTTTATCCCAGAAGAGAACAGCATGATGTGTATGTATGTACCTAAGTGTGTATATAAAGGTCTATAAATACAAATATCGTACATGAAAATGAGAATAATATTGAGGCAGTTGTATAAATATATAACATTTGTGCAACCATTTCACAAGATCTCTGGGGGGGGTGAATATACAGATTTAATCATCTTCTGGTGTAAAGTTTACCAATTAAGCCTCCCCCACCCCCCAAATAAATATTGTTGTTATAACTGCCTTTGGTCAAGTAGAAAACTTTTCAGCCTTAAGGTAGCACACTTCATCGTTTTGTATACCCTACAAATTACATAAAGAGGGACAGTGCAGAGTTCAGTTCTATTCCTACTTACCTGGAGGCAAGATCCAAGAATTTAGTAGGACTTATTTCTGTGGTGTCATAGATAGGATTGCATAAGAAATTGGATCACCTTATACTACTGTAGTCTTAGTAGATTGCCATGAGAGGGTGCTATTGGAGCAGGAAAGAGAATGTTTTGAATTATGTTGGTTTTAGTCCAACATAAGTATTCGTACCTTATTTGTATAGTAAGACACATATCCAGTTAAGACACCTTATTCTTAATATGTGCATGCTTTTATTTACTTTTTTAAATTTATTAATTATTAGTTAGAATCCTTCTCCCAAGTTCTGCCTTTATTTATCTATCCATCTAGGAATACGTTGTGCTGGGTGACTTCAGTATACAGTTCTCTATTATCTTGGAATATCACAATTTCTGAGCATGCATTATTATCAAAAAGAGTGTGTGGTTAGAGATAAGTTAAATAAAATGAGTGAATGCATTTAAAGGTCCATATAGGAAACTACTGAACTTCAAGAACTGGAGTGATTAACATCTGGCCTAGCTTTTGTTCTTTTGTTCTTATCTTGATGCCCTTTATATTGAGTTAGAATCAGGCAGTATTTAAGTCTAAAGACTGAGAGTCAGTACCAAATAGAAAGATAACTTTCCATTTGCTATCTGAGTGAGACAGTCGTAAGTTCTGCTTCACTTCCAATTTGAAATACATTTTTGTATGAGTCAAGCTTCTTCAATAAAAATGATTTCGAAGTGATTTTCCTATTCACAAGTAACCCAGTTAGAATTTACATGTACACTATTGTCATTTAAGTTGGCAACAATAATTCTGTAGAGAGTTGTAATGTACAGTGGTACCTTGGGTCACGAATGCTTCTGTTCATGAACAATTCGGTTTACGAACAACACCATTCGCAAACTTTTGCTTCCGTTCGCGAACTCCGCATCGGGTGACAAACAAGATCCGCGGCCATTTTCCCTGCTGTGACACGTGGTCGTGGCTTTCTGTA